GACCCCCAAATAACCTCTGGGTACTAGAGAACAGATCTGTAGAGGGATTGCAGATACCTGTAGGAATAATACAGTAGTGCTGGTTGGAGAATATAATTTCCCCTGTATTGACTGGACCACCCAGAGTTTAAAAGGACCGGATGGGGTGGAATTTGTCAAATGTATCTAAGAAAGTTTCCTAAATCACTATGTAGAGGGCCCTACTCGGGAGGGTGCAACACTGGGCCTCCTCTTAGGAAACAAGGTCGGGCAAGTGACTAAAGTGTCACTCTCTGAGTCCACTGACCATAATTTGGGTCCACTGACCATAATTCTCCTGGATTTAACACTGTTATGGAAAAAGATAGGACAGGTCCACAGGTTAAGGTGTTGAACTGGAGTAGGGCCACTTTTGGGCCTATTAGGCAGGATCTAGCAGTGGTTGATTGGTTGAGTCTGTTTGAAGGAAAAGGAATATCTGGCAAAAAGGAGGCTTTTAAAAGTGTGATAACAAGAGTTCAGGGGCAGTACGTGGCTGACGATAGATATTGAGGCTCTGATCAGGAAAAAGAAGAAGGCATACATTGAGTTTAAGCTATTGGGTTCAAGTGAATCCATAGATGACTATAAAGTGTGTAAGAACACACTTAAGAGAGAAATCAGAAGAGCAAAAAGGGGGTATGAGATAGATCTGGCAGAAAAGGTTAAAGATAATCCCAAAAGGTTCTATAACTATATTAAGAGTAAGAGGGTGGCTAGGGAGAGAATAGGTCCCCTTAAAGATCAGCATGACCGTCTATGTGTAAAGCCACAGGAGATGGGGGAGATTTTTAATGAATATTTCTTCTCAGTGTTTACTGAGGAGACAATCATTGATGCTAAGGAAATAAGGGAAACAAGTGGGGATGTTTTGGACTGTACACACATTACCAGAGAGGAGGTGTTTGCAGCCTTAAAGCTCATTAAGATGGATAAATCCCCAGGATCTGATCAAGTCCATCCTTGGACATTATGGGAGGCTAGGGAAGAAATTGCAGAGGCCCTTGCACAGATTTTTTTTCTTCATTTTTAGTCACTGGCAAAGTTCAAGAAGACTGGAGGGTGGTTACTGTTATTCCATTGTTTAAGAAAGGTAGCAAAGACAAGCCAGGGAACCACAGGTCAGTGAGCCTGACATCAGTGGTAGGCAAGTTATTGGAGAGGATACTGACGGACAAGATTAACCAACATTTGGATAGTTACAGTCTGATTAGGAATAGTCAGCATGGATTTGAGTGTGGAAGTCATGTCTGACAAGTCTTTTAGAATTTTTTGAAGAGGTAACCAAGAGGATAGATGAGGATAGAGCAGTGGATGTTGTCTATATGGACTTCAGGAAAGCCTTTGACAAGGTCCCACATGGCAGGCTGATCATGGACATTAGGTTGCATGGGATCCAGGGAGATCTAGCTAATTGGATTCAAAATTGGCTCGATGGTAGGAAGCAGAGGGTGATGGTTGAAGGTTGTTTCTCAGAATGGAGGCCTGGGGCTAGTGGTGTGCCACAGGGGTCGGTGCTGAGACCTTTGTTATTTGTTATTTACATAAATGTTCTGGATGTGAATGTACAAGACATGATTAGTAAGTTTGCAGATGATACAAAATTAGGAGGTATTGTTGACAGCAAGGAAAGTTATCAAAAATTTCAGAGGATCTTGATCAGATGGGGAAGTGGGCTGAGGATTGGCAAAAGCAATTTAATGCATATAAGTGCGAGGTGTTGTATTTTGGAAAGTCAAACCAAGACGGAACTTATACAGTAAATGGTAAGGTCCTGAGGAGTGTTGTGGAACAGAGGGACCTAGGAGTACAAGTACGTAGTTTGTTGAAAGTGGCGTCAGAGGTAGACAGGGTCGTGAAGAAGGCATTTAGCATGCTGGCCGTCATCGGTCGAGGCACTGAGTACAGGAATTGGGACTTTATGTTACAGTTGTGTAAGTCATTGGTGAGGCCGCACTTGGAATATTTTGTACAGTTTTAGTCACCCTGTTTTAGGAAAGACATTGTTAAACTGGAAAGTGTGCAAAGAAAATTTATAAGTATGTTGCCAGGACTAGTAGTCCTGAGTTATAGGGAGAGGTTGGGATAGGACTTTATTCCTTGGAATGTAGGAGAATGAGGGGTGACCTTATTAAGGTGTATAAAATCATGAGGGGCATAGATAGGATAAATGCATATAGTCTATTTTCCCAGGGATGGGGAATTGAAAACAAGACGGCATAGGTTTAAGGTGAGAGGGGAAAGATTTAAGAAGTACCTGAGGAGCAACTTCTTCACGCAGAGAGTGGTGTGTATATGGAATGGGCTGCCAGAGAAAGTGGTTGAGGCAGGTACAATAGCAACATTTATAAAACATTTGGATAGGTACATGGATGGGAAGGGTTTAGAGGGATATGGACCAAATACAGGCAATTGAACTAGCTGAGGGGGCACTTTGGTCGGCATGGACCAGTTTGGGCTGAAGGGCCTGTTTCCATGCTGTATTACTGTATGACTCTACTACAGACGAGGAGGTGCTGGATGTCTTAAAACACCAAAATGTGGGTAAATCCCCAGGATCTAATCAGGTGTATCCCAGAACATTATGGGAAGCTAGGGAAGTGATTGCAGAGCCCTTTGCTGAGATATTTGTAGCATCGATAGCCACAGGTGAGGTAATGGTAGACTGAAGGTTGGCTAACATGGTGCCATTATGTAAGAAAGGTGGTAAGGAATAGACTAGTGAGCCCATGGAGGGTAAAGTTGTCGGAGGGAATTCTGAGGGATAGGATTTACATGTATTTGGAAAGGTGAGGACTGATTAGGGATAGTCAACATGACTTTGTGTGTAGGAAATTGTGTCTTTCTAACTTGATTGAGTTTTTTGAAGAAGTGATGAAGAAGATTCATGAAAGTAGAGTGGTGGAAGTTGTCTAAATGAACTTCAGCAAGGTGTTTCAAGGTTCTACATGGTAGACGGGTTAGCAAAGTTAGATCACATGGAATCCAGGGAGAGATAGCCATTTGGATTCAAAATTGGCTTGAAGGTAGATGATAATGGTGGAGAGTCAATTTTTGGACTGGAGGACTGTGACCAGTAGTGTGCCGTAAAGATCAGTACTGGGTCCACTGCTTTTTGTCATTAGATAAATTATTTGGATGTGAATAAAGGAGGAAAGGTTAGTAGGTTTGCAGAAGACACCAAAATTGGTGGTGTGATGGACAGTGAAAAGGGTTCTTTCAGAATACAACAAGAGCTTGATCGGATGGGCCAATGGGCTGAGGAGTGACAGATGAATTTTAATTTAGATAAATGTGAGGGTTGCATTTCGGAAAGGCAAATCAGAGCAGGACTTAATACATTTAATGTTAGGGGCCTGGGGAGTGCTGTCGAAAAAAGAGATCTTGGGGTACAGATTCAGTTCCTTGAAAGTGGAGTCACAGGTAGACAGGATGTTGAAGAAGTTGTTTGGTATGCTTGACTTTATTGGTTAGTTCATTGAGTATAGGAGTTGGGAGGTCATGTTGTGGCTGTACAGGACATTGGTTTGGCCACTTTTGTAATACTGCATGCAATTCTGGTCTCCCTGCTATAAGAAGGATGTTGTGCAACTTTGAAAGGTATCGGAAAGGATTTACAAGCATGTTGCCAGGTTTGGAGGGTTTGAGCTGTAGGGAGAGGCTGAATAGGCTGGGGCTATTTTTCCTACAGCACTGGAGGCTGAGTGATGGGCATGTAGAAGTTTATAAGATCATGAGGGGCATGGATTGGATGAAAAACAAGGTCTTTTTCCCAGTGTAGGGGAGTCCAAAACTAGAAGGCATAGGTTTAATATGTGAGGGGAAAGATTTAAAAGGGACCTAAAGGGCAACTTTTCACACTGAAGGTGGTGCATGTATGGAACGAACTGCCAGAAGAAGAAGTGAATGCTGGTACAATTACAACATTTAAAGGGCATCTGGATGGATATATGAGTAGGAAGGTTTTAGAGGGATGTGTGCCAAATGCTGGCAAATGGGACTAGATTAGTTTAAGACATCTGGTTGCATGGATGAGTTGGACCAAAGGGTCTGTTTCCATGCTGTACAACTTTATGACTCTAAGAATCAAGGGAAGGAAAGAACAATCTACTATGACAGAAAATAGCTGTCCTTCTCCTGCTGCAGTGATCAGGAGGAGTAATGGGTTATAGTCTGTCCCGTTCATGTACAGGGCCAGGCAATGCATTTCTGAAATAGCCTGTCTGATATTAATCTTTTTCTCCTGCAACTGTGCTCAGTTACAGGTTACACCCTGGAGACAGACAATTAATTAACCCACATTGTGTTAAAGTTAGTTCTGCTTACACTTTCAAATTATTGGCTTTTAGTGGAATCCAATTTCTTACAAGCATGGCATTATTTGCAGGATGGCCCTGGGGAGCAAGGCAGTATTTAAAGAGGGTCCCTGGGAAATGTGTCACAGTATTTACAAGAGGTCTGCAGGCAAGTGACAGTATTCACGGAATCCCTGCAGTGTGGAAACAGGCCATTCAGCCCTTTCCCTGGGTCCCTGTATTTCCCATGTCTAAGCCACCTAACTTACACACCTGTAGGCATTACAGGCAATTTAGCATGGCCAATCCACCAAAACCTACCCATCTTTGGACTGTGGGAGGAACCCAGAGTACCCGGAGGAAACCCACGCAGACACGGGGAGAATGTGCAAACTCCACACAGACAGTCGCCCGAGGGTGGAATCAAACCTGGCTCCCTGGCGCTGAGGGGCAGCTGTGCTAACCACTGAGCCACCCTATTTGTAGGGGACTTTCTGGGGAACTTGCATTATTTGCGAGGGGGTTCCCAGGCAGCGGGGCAGTATTTACAGTGTCCTTTGGAATATGACATAGGCTGCAGAAATGCAAGTTACTTCTCTCTTTCTGATTCAATGAGGAAGAGTCAGCTTATCTGATAACTGCTAATATCACAGGCTCTCTACAGCTTCACGCATTCTTCATCTGTACCTTGGTTTGTACAATTGATGGTCTCTGTGTTCTCATTTCTTGAATCAGGTCATAAATGCTGAAATTTTCTGGAATAATCTGCAATGGAAAAATATTAATTAAAATGCACACATAAAAACAAAAGATGTTGGGTGCTGAATTAGAAACATTCAGTATGTAATAAAAATAGAAAGCACAGCAAAATCTCAGCAATTCTCATAGCATCGGCAGAGACAGAAACATGAGAAACAGAGACAGGTCAATGTTATTTCATTGTGTAGGCATTGTCAATTGAGCTGTGACCAATTGGTTAAGAAGTTCTTAACTGGAGTCCGCACAGTAGCTCAGTGGTTAGCACAGCTGCCTCACAGCACCAGGGACCCAGGTTTGATTCCAGCATTGGGTGACTGTCCACATGGAGTTTGTATGTTCTCCCTGTGTCTCTGTAGGATTCCTCTGGGTGCATTGGTTTTCCCCCACAGTCCAAAGATGTGCAGGTTGGGTGGATTGGCCATGCTAAATTGTCCATACTATCCAGGAATGTGCAGGCTAGGTGGATTAGCCATGGAAAAATACAGAGATGGAACAGGTCTGGGTGGGATGACCTTCAGACGGTCAGTGTGGACTCAATTGGCCAAATGGCCTGCTTCTACACTGTAGGGATTCTATGAAGTCAATGATGTTTAACAGGCCATTATCTACATGCTGAATCAAACAAATAAAGACCTTCAGAGGTACCAGTTTCTATCTTTCCCACATAGATTCTATTTCTGCCCATAACCTAAGCCCGAGGAACAGCTCAGCTCTTTTTCTTTGAAACAAATCTTTCAGAGATTTTATGACACACCTCTGGAGCAAGTGGGACTTGAATCTGGACTTCCTGGCTTAGAGGTAGGGACACTGCCAATGCACCACAAGAGCCCCGAAGAATCCAGCTTTATTTCCACTCTTTCTTTAATATCTGTCAGTGTTATTACACACAACTTTTGTCCCACCACCCAAATCACCAGTGGGACTTTTCATCTATTTCCACATCACTAAATCATCCCTGTTACCAATTATACACATACCATGCAAAGCACAGCAAGGTCAAAGAACCCAACTTCAGAAGGCTCACTGGACCTGAAACATTAACTCTGTTTTCTCTCCACAGATGCTGCCAGACCTGCTGAGTTTTTCAAGCAATTTCTGGTTTTGTTTCTGATTTCCAGCATCTACAGTTCTTTTGTATTTTTTAAAACAGACCAGCATTGTTTTTTTTCTTATTTCTTATTTTGTATCAGGCACAACTGAACGACTTTCCCACCAGCAAAATCACTGTGATGTTTTTTTGCTTTTCCTTTTAACTACTAGCAGTACCCAGCCATGTAGCTAATTAAATATTTACAAGCAAAGCCCGTTAAGAGCAATGCAAGCCATCAAAAGCGAGAGGGGAGGTAGGGGAAGACAGAAGGACTTAATCAAAATGTTGGGGAGTCGGAGGGGGAGAGAGGGCATGGTATTCCCCATGGTGCCCACCTCTCTAAAGGCATTGAGAGCATTGATGGACACTGCATGGTCCCTCTCCACAGGCACCTGTGCATGAACATAACCACAGAAGACCATTGGCAGAGATGACCTCTTCCATAACTCACCGTCTGGACCTGTTGATAAAGAACCCAGCTCTTCTTTTTTATTGATTAGGAAACATAGATCACATTTAACCTGCTCAGAGATGTTATTGCACACCTCTGGAGCAGGTGGGACTTGAACCCATGCCTCCCAGATCAGGGGTAGGGACACTATCACTGTGTCATAGGAGAGTCTGCTTTTCCCCCAAATCATCCGTGGTTTTTTTTTTAATATAGTGAAGAACCCAGCTCTTAAATACAAAGTCCAGACAGCATCAGGTAATGAACCTTGAAGCTGTTCTGGTTTACCCTTAAAAGGAGCTTGACTTCTAATCCTGACAAAGAAAGAGGAATTCAACCACTGGAGGATGCTCAGAGACTGGGTGGGAAACTGATCCTCACTGTCATATCTGAATTATGATGAAAAGTCAGAAAAAGATTGGACATTTAAGGCTTTAACAGGCAAGAGGAGAGATCTTATAGGGAATCAAAGATGTGAATTGGTCATCCTGAGTCATTCTGTCAAGGGAAGCTGTAGGAGCACCACAAGAGGACACAAACACAAAGGGAGAAGAGCCAAGTTCAGGCCAAATGTCACACAGATAGAAAGATTTGTGAAATATCAGGGAGCTGATGACTGTGCTGAGCTGACATGAAAGAAGAGTTGGGCATAGGGCACATCAGCCATGATATTGAATGGCCAGCCAGGCTTGAGGCATTGAATGGCCTACCCTTGCTCATATTTCTTATGTCCTTCTGTACAAAGAGACTAATACTTGGTATGGGCTCTGGGGACAGTCTCTCTGGAGCCTCTCCTGAGCTGGTTGTGTATGTTGTAGATTTCTGAGGAAGGATGAGTTAAGAACACAAAATCACCATCTTGGGTTCACCTGGGTGCCACCACTGTTTGTCTCTGAGCAGAGTCTGATACTGCCCTGCCAGACCCTCTCCTCCACACTGGCCTTCAGGTTCAGCAAACACAGGCAAGTGGGTAGACAAAGAAGGTGTTGGCCAAGAATCATAGAATCCCCACAGTGCAGAAGAAGGCCATTTGGCCCATCAAGTGGGCACTGACCCTCCAAAGAACAACCCACGTACAACACCACTGTAATTCCACATGGGGTTTTTAACTGTGGCTAAGCCACACATCCCTCGACACTACAGGGCAATTTAGCATGGCCACTTAATCTGCACATCTTTGGACTGTGGGATGAAACTGAAGCATGTGGAAGAAATCCACATGGACATAGAAAGAATGTGGAAAGTTCACACAGTCACTGGAGGGCGGAATCTAACCTGGGTCCCTGGTACTGTGAAGCAGCAGTGCTAACCAATGAGCCACCATCCTGCTGAAAAGACAAAAAAATCTTTGGAATCTATCAACTCCAGAATCCAGCTGGCTATGAAAAGCGGTAAGTATGTGCTGGGTTACAAACAGACTTTGAAAATGATTTGTCAAGGCGACACCGAGCTGCTTGTTATTGCCAACAACTATCCAGCCTTGAGGAAGTCAGAAATTGAGTATTTTGTTAGCCAGTACTGGTGTGCACCATTACAGTGGCAACAACATCGAACTAGGTACAGTTTGAGGTAAATACTAAAGCGTGCACACTAGCTATCATTGATCCTAGTGATTCTGAAATTTTCAGGAACATGCCAAAACCAATCAGTAAGAAATAAAGAGATAGTAGGAACTGCAGATGCTGGAGAATCCGAGACAAC